TTCTCTCACTCTTTGCCTTTAAAATGGGTACAAGTAACTCATTCACAAGCTCTAGGCAGTTCTTTGTTGGAGTAGCCACCTGCATAACATGTGAGAGGTACCTGCAAGGAGAGAAAAGTAAATACATCAGAAGAAATCCACAAAGGACAGCTTAATAAGTTCTAGCAGCCTAATAAATTGAAAAGATTTGCATATAAGGACCTATAACAAGGAAAAGAACATCTGAAAGTACCTTAACTTCGTGTATGAATCAGAAACTCCATAGTAGTCTGCAAATTCAGTCAACAACCATTTCCAAGGTCCATGCAACCTCAAGTTCCGGGAATGAAAATTTAGTGCATGCATAGCAGCCTCCAAAAGCAAATCATATGCTAGAGTTTCCACAATAGGTCCACTCTGTAATAAGCAGAGGTACAAAAATTAAAGCCTTAACATGTATGTAGGTATGCTCCAGCCAAAAGTAAATCATATGCCAAGAGTTTCCACAAGAAGTCCACTCTGTAATAAGCAGAAGTACAAAAATTAAACCCTTAACATATATGTATATATACTCCATCCACACATCACATATGATCCTAACAAGCAAAAGAGCTTCAGCCATAATCCACACATCAGATATGTACCCTGACAAGCAAAACAGCTTCTGGCCTAACTTTACTGGACAATGTATGATTTATACACAAATTTAACAAGGACTACTGAAGGACCCACATCACCCGTGCCTAACTACCTTATCCTATTAGAAATAAAAGAAAAATCAGAATATAACAGGATATAAATTTTTTATATGCTTTTTTTAGATGGAAAGAAAGGAAACCTTTATATGATTAGCCTCCTCAGATGTTATTGTACTACCAATAAAGAGCTGGATCTTTCCAACACATTCTTGATCATCGTGATGTATAGGCCACCAACGTATTCTTTCATTCTGCATATCAGGGAAACAGCATCTGATTATGAGTTAATGTAGAAAGATGGTAAGTCCATAAAAGAGAGAGAAAGATTTCAATCTGATTCTAGAAGATAGAAGAGTAGTACATACTGGATTATCAGTCAAAGATAAAACTGGAATGGATGCTCGACCTTGAATTGATTTCTTCTTATCCTGGACCTCCACCAGCAACGCATCCCTTTCAGTTTCTGGAAAACTAAAATAGAATGTGTCTGAGTAAGATCTTCTGCAGTGGTGGTTTGCACCGTAGCTAATTGTTACTTCCAGTCTAAAATGCTGAAACCACAGACTTCAAGACAAGATATTATATTTGATCCTTGATTGCATACATAAACAAACTTCACATTTAATAGGATAATATCTCTCAGGTTTTATCTATCAGCCTAACTAACTAAGCTTCGCCAATGGTTCTCATTATAATACCACCATACTACAGAAATGT